CCGCCCCCCGGGCCTCTGCCACCGTGACGTGAGGAACCGGCTCACGCGTATAGCCTAAAAGTGATGCGTGAAAGAGCTGCGCTGTCAATATTTCCTTCACTGAAAGTTTACACTGTTTTGTTCTGCTTTTGAAACCTCGTGAATCTCTGCCGGATGTGAAATAAGCTACGCGTGCTCTGCGCTTTTTAACCTTCGGCTCCTAAGAAAAGGAGAACGTATGCCAGGATGCGTTGTTCTGAACGGGTTACACAAATCCCGCTGAGCGGTCGAAGCTTTGCCGTGCGAGCGCCCGCGCGCGTCAGCATCCCCGCGCCTTGCTTGGAGGCCTCCGGAGGCGGCCGCCTGACCGCAGTCTTGCTCCTTTTAGTTAACAAAGTTAAGTTTCCTTACTGAGTTTTGTCAGGACATAGTAAATACTAGGATTTGCCAAAAACTGCAAGCAGAACTCCCACTGAAAATGAACGTACTTATGAATCTTAATTCTTTTGATGAAAAAGAGTTACTAAAACATTGTGATTCAATTTCTCAAGAAATAGTCTGTGAGGGCACATAATTATCAGTGTAGCAAAAAGGAGTAAAATGTACCTATGTATTACTTTTTCTAACCAATTTAAAGACATAAGGTAAAACAATCAGCAATATTTTCCCCTTTACGTACTAGAAGTAATAGGAAGGAGGGAAATGCCGTTGGGCACATTCCCGCTGAGCTGCTCTAGTGTCCTCCATAACACACACGCAATCATCCCATCCAGCCTTTATTATAAAGGAGAAGCTAACGCTGATCACCTCTGCTTTGGCACGAGTCAGTACTCAGGACTCCATTACACCCTGAGATACCTCATCTTTTTAATTTTTTTTCTTTCTGACTCAAGAAAAAGCAAAATGAGAGAACACAATATTAAAAATGTGATTTATTCTGTACTTCATTGACATTGACATTCTGGAACTATGATTCAACACTAGAAATAGAAAAGTTGTTTCTAAAAAGGTCAACTTTTTATAAAAATGTCAGCTTTGATGAAATCTCTTTTTTTTTTTTTTGCAGGAAAAAATTCCATTAGAACCATTCAAACAGATGTAATATTGACCTGCTGCAACCTTTAATCCATGACTCTGGATTTTATGTAGTTTGTTAACATGAACAAACATAGTATCATAATAAAAGAGATGATGACCTTGTTTATAATGGGTTTCATATCATTTCCTTTTGTTATTCTGAGGCATAGAAAATAGTGATGTGCAGCAGTGTTTACTAAGGATTTCCACAGCATAATAACATAATTATATTAACAACCAAAAAAAAGTAAACTGGATGAGTTACAGCCTAGCAGCTCTGGCTGCCTGACAAGGCTTGGGGCATTGCTGTAGGTGATCCAAACCTGAATACTCCTTCCAGCGTTTTTGTGCTCGATCTTAAAGTGCATTACAGTTTCTGTTCCTCCAGCATACCCAGCCTTCCTCTGGGAAGGGGGAGCGATATGCAGCCCATCTCCCTCTGGCACAGGATCTGGGTACAGGCAGAGCACAGTCAGGGACCAGGATGCCAGGGCAGGCCCCACGGCATCCCTCTGTTCCACTCATCTTCTGAATCGGCTAAGGCAGCAAATCAGTTACTACTTTTCTACTGTATGCACACATTTGAGCTCTTTCCTCTTCTGCTTTTGGCTAATCTTTCCTGCACTAAAAAAAAGCTATGACAATCGTGTTTTAACAAGTGGAATTAATGATGATGTGGTGCAACCCTAGAGTGCAGATACCAAAAAAAGTAGTGCTCTTCCAAATGGAAATATTCATTTAGGCTGGAGCCTACTTTGAGAGCCTACTCACCTAAAACACCTCAAAACAGGCTCTAGAGAGAAACAGATATTCAAAGACAATTCACCTAATCTAAAATCTGGAACAACTGAGCTTCCAACTCCAATGTCTCACTAAGCAGTCAAAAGTGAATTGGGATAGTTATTCCAGTTAAGAATTTCAGAGCCTATCTTTGGGTGATGCTATTTCTGTTTGTCTTTTATTTTTCATATGGCTTTCCACTTCCTGGGGTTTTTCTTTTGTTAACATCAAATCCCAGACTTCCATACTAAGAAAAAATGGAAAAGATATACTAGATCAACAATTTATGTTGCAAAGCAAGCAGTACTCTCCAAATAGAGAAGATGTGGGGCTTTAGGAACAGCAGAAAAACATACAACATTTAGTGGCATAAGGAGAAATTTGAGTGGCTGAATTTACCAATAAGAGCAAATTCTTTGCTTTCTGCCCCTGTTTCGTAAGAATTGTTTTACCTGCCTTTGAGATGTACAATTATGTACTTCTCTTCAAAGATGCTATGCAAATGAATGATTACTCATCTGCCTACTTTGTAAGCATCATACAGTACCCCAAAACATTTGCATTAAGGAGGAAAAATGGCAAAGGTGCCCATTCAGTTGTAAAATCTAGAACTTCTCTTACTGGCCTTGCTCTCTTTTCTCCCTCTTTTAACTGATTAACTTCATTTTCAACCCAACTAAGGCTTGGAAAGAGAAATAAAATTTGGAAATGGAAATGAATTTGGACATTGGATATGGAAATTTAAATTGGGAAAGACAAAAGAGAATAAACAAGAATATTGAAGTATGTAACAAAAAAGAGCTATCATGAAAATAAGAGGCTTACACACTGTGGATTATTAATGCAATGTCAGATATCCAACTTTCAATAATAAACATGTTTAACCATTTATTTTGCAGTATGTCCCAATGGAGTCAAGTTCAACAATTGGAAATAAAGTTTTTGGAGCAGGTAGACCAGTTCTATGATGATAACTTCCCAATGGAAATCCGGCATCTACTAGCACAATGGATAGAAAGCCAAGATTGGTAGGATGAAATTTATTCCCTCTTTTAAGATTTGAGTCATGAATCATTTTTTCCTTATTTGGCAGGTTTTTAGGGTGCTTATTTCTGAACTGTACAGGCATCTGTGTTCCAGGAATACTATTCCTCTATTTATGGATTAAGCCTGTTGTTGAACTAGTCTTACCTTTCATTTAAATAAAGGATTAAAGAGGGATTCAGAATGTCAGTAAAGCATTCATAAGGCTTCAAAGTTCTTACTCTAATTCATTGAACAAAAATTTCCATTGTACATATTTTATAAGTCATGGACATGCTTATATTAAAACAGAACAAAATAAGGACATTTGTTTTTGGCTTCTCCTCCTAATAAATGCTAACTACTGCATACTACATGAAAGACAAGGCAGTGCTTTTGAAGAAAAAAAGTAAATGCAATTGGGTATTTTTTGTGCATACGTTGAAATAATGACTTTAAAGAAAAGCAACAAATGTAAAGCTTAATATAATTATGCATATAATCAATGTATACAAATTCTAAATTTGATGGATTTTGTTAGAGAACAGTTTTCTGTCCCTTGCAACTTTAAACTTAAGGCTTGTCTGGGGGTGAGGTTTTGTTTGAACTTATTCCTAAACAAAATCCATTAAGATTGGTTTAGCAATTTAATGATATTACAGCTATTTCATGGAAAAAAATAATGGGCCAGTTTTCAATGGAAATGTTATTTGCTTGTATTTCCAGCACACAATTATTCCACTCATCCAAAACTGCAGTTTAAACTGGATGCATAATTTTGGGGGGCAAGCCAGCTATTTGCAGAAACTATTGTCTAGAAGGTGAATTCATGAACAAATTTGGATTGAATTCATTGGGCATTTGTCTTAAGAAAATTCAGAACTAAATGTCAAAAAAGTCTGTATTAGTAGTACTGGAAAGAGACATTTCAATTTTTCAAGGTAAATCCACAAGATTATTAGAATGCTATTGCAAAAACCTGCTAAGGAATATAATCTTTCCTAACAATTTATAGCCCAGTGTTTACAGGGCTATGGGAATATGGGAAACGGATTAAAATCTCCTCTGCCAGATTTAGAAGGCATATCTCAAACAGGCATCTGCCATTTAGGGGGCAAAGAGAGAGAGCGTGTCCTTAGGACAAGAATGCCACGCAGTCCAAAGGGTATCTTCCTCCATTCTGCTCACTAACGTTATTGCCCTTCATGTAGCAAGCTGCTCCATAAACAGCAGTAGTAGTCAAGCTGTTTTTCCTATGTATTTGTGTCCTTTGTCCCCTACCTACCTTTCACTGGTATTCTCAGCGTCTTCCTGTATCCCCAAATAGTCTGGCTGGGCAAAGGCTCATCTGGTGCCTGGTGTGAAGATACGTATGTGCTGATTGGCCATCTGGCTATTGCCTCCTGGAGCAAGTTATCACTGCCTTTTCCTCAGTGGAGACAGTAATTTAGATCCCTCTGCTCTACCAACCTGCCAGTTTCCTATGAAAGTTGTAAGACCATTGTATCTTTTGGACTTCAAGCCCACGGTCAACTTTGTCTGAAGCTGGGCAGCATGTTCAGAAACTGTATTTGTGTGACTGACAAAGAGGGAGACAGACTGTATGCATAAGCCTAATTTCCTCTGGAAAGCTGACTAAAGATATTTAAATGTTCAGTGGAACAGAGACTAGACCCCTGGCTGTCTTCCCACTGAGTGACTCCTTGGCCTGTGCTCACAACATCCTCATTCTCTCTCTATAGCTGCATATCTAGGGGAATATAAGCCAAAGGATCACAAAATCAATTCTATACATAGCTCTAAGTATATACAAGAAGTAACTATATTTTTAATGCTTTTCTTTACTATCTTAATTTCTGAATGGATTAGAATATTTTGTGCAAATAGTTTGACACTTACTAGGACATTTTTGTTTATTAACATACATGTTTCGCATTCATTTATTCTTCTATAGGGAGGCTGCATCCAACAACGAAGCAATGGCAACAATCCTTTTACAGAATTTGCTAATACAAGTGGATGAACAGTTAGATCGAGTTTCACAAGAAAAGAATCTTCTCTTGATACACAACCTGAAAAGAATCAGGAAGCTTCTTCAGGTAGGTTGTTATTTCAGATAACAAACCTTATACTCTTAGTGATTTCTAAACGTAATGTCCAACCTCTGAAAGTTCAGAGCTGTCCTCATCACTGTAGACTCTGAGCAGCTGTGGGAAGACCAAGCCTTAAACAAGATAAGTCAGATAGTAATTCTGCTGCCAGTTACATTTGTGGAACAGTATTTCACATTTTTAATGGATATTGCTCAGATACAACAATGCTGTGACCTGTTAGCTCAATGTGTCTTTGGTGTCTTCAGTTCTTAAAAATAAGAATGTTTAGTACTTATGGATGTTAATATTTATTACAAATGTAATTACTGGCTTTTCAGACACATATAGGTGTTTAACTATGATTAGTTGTGATTATTGCAGGAATAAAAATGCATATTTGAGCCTTAATAAAACAGCAGCCTGCAAAAGGAACCACTGGAAATCAATAGCATGTTTGCTATTTTATGCTTAGCTTGAATTATTTTTTATGAATCGCTTAAAGGATTTTCCATTAGGCTTTTGCAGAGTGATATTTATTTTGACTGTCTGAATGTTTCTCTAATAACTGTTTATTTTTAAAGCAAGAATTCTCGGAGTTCCACTTCATTAGTCATTTACTTCCTGCCATCTATGTCTTTACATAAAACAGATACACATCTGAGTTTAATGAAAGTTTGGGGGTTTTTCTCTTCTTTGATGGTGTTTTCCATAGGTACTCCAATGACAGTTATATTGCTTGCAAAATATTATCTTTATTTTATATATATGTTTTGGTCTGGAAAATCTTAACATGGCATTGTCAATTATTTTGTTCTCTTTATAGTTGTGTATCTTTCTATTCTGTATCCTTAATGGTGGCCTCTTAAAGATGTGACAATATTTCCATCATTACCACTTTTTCTTCCAGCATTCTGCAAGCAGTCTCATTTACTTGAAACTAAGGTTGCTTTTAATTTCTTTTCTGGTATGTGTAGCAGTATTATCCATAATTTCAGTACGGCTCAAACAACAAATGTAGTTAACTGCTTTTGGAGTTAACTACAAGTTGAGCAGAAAGGTTAATCCTATTATTTCTGTTGCGGTCTTAGTACACGTTACCATACTCGGGTTGAGAGAGAGCTGTATCACCTTAGTATAGTGTGGTTCTTTTTTTTTTCTTTTGCAACAGCATGCATGTAGAAAGTGTGTTTCAGGACGCTAAAGTGAGCAGTTGCATTGCTGTATCACTGGCTTAGGAGATGGTGCATTTATGATTACATTGTCACAATGTGCATATGCAGAGGGATTGGTATATATTTACATACAGGCTCTACAAAATTTGAATCTCTCAGTGTTCCTTCTCCTCCTCTCACCTCTCTTTTATTTTTAAAATTTCACCAAAATTTAGAGTGGCAGCTCTATATAGCCAAATGTGTAGTCTGTGAAATGTGTCAGCTGAGACAATAATCAGGTCTTGGGCCATGCATGAGTTTACATAATATAGTGCCATTGTGAAAACAGCCAGAATAAAAACCATGTCCCTTAAGTCCTGGCACGTGTGAAGATTATATTATGGTGTGCTTCTGAAGAGCACAAAACAAATGAGGCATAATCCAGGAAGGGGAGAGAAGGGGAGTTTTAAGTGATTTCTGATTAAGTGTTTTCTCAGATGGCAAAGACTCGAGTTAAGTTTCTAGAACAAGCTAAAATGCAGAGGAGTCTCCTTTACAACTGCACAGCTACACTACAGTTGCCATATACTAGTTACAGCAGTGGTAAAGCTGGCACGAGAGTTGATCTTTTCCTTCTTTAGACAAAGCAGCAGTAGAAGTTTCATAGGGGTTTGCCTAACCCATCATTTCACTTGATTGCTGGCTTTCTGAAAAGAAGTGCCATGCAGGTTATGATGTGCATCAAGTAGCTTTCTGTATTGCTCTGTAGGATTGATAAGTAAGGCTGTGATTTAACAAGCTGTTTCAGCAGAAAGATCTCTGCTCCATTGGACCTCAAAGGTTTATAGGTTTGCAATTTAAAGCATTATGAATTCCTTGAGAGGACATTTGTGATGCTGGAACTATGCTGCTTATTAAAAAGGGCCTCAGTCTTGAGCTTTGTGGTAAAATGTTTCCAGTTAAGAAAAAAATACAACATCTCTCCCCATTACTAATAATGTTGGCTTTTCTCCATTCTATCAAGACAGCAAATAACCTATTTTTAGATAAAAAGCTACTTGTACAGTTTCAGAATGCACATGCGAACCAGCAGATACCAAATAGCACTTTCACTATTAGAGCTTTTCCTGATTTCTTATATGACCTTTAATACTATGACCCACAGTATATTCTGATTTCCAAAATAACTTCTGCAGGTTGGAGCAGAACCAGACTTTTGTGTTGCTGGTGGGTTTTTTTTTTTTTTTTTTTTTGCTGATGGAGCAAGTAGCTTGAAGTATGTCTTTCTAAGAAAAATCTGTAACACACATTTTGGATTTTTGTTTAAAATGTTACATTTAAAATATGTTCCAACTAGTAATTTTAAAAACATATGATAATTGCATCTTAAAACAAAGTAGGGGGTGCATGTTCTTTAGGGCTGTGCATGCAGCCTTCTGAGCTCCAGCTGTTAAAATCAGGTAACTGTATCAGTGGTCAGGTAACTGTATTAGGGGAAATGTTATGGTACTTGTGATGAACTGATATCCTTACTGTTATCTGTCAGTTATTAACAACGGACTATGAGCTGCACATGGCACACAGTATTCACCGTTGTTGCTGTAATGTCCTTAAATTTGAGTATACCAATTATATAATTAGAGAAGTCGTGGCATTTCTTTTCAGATTTACATTTGAGGATTAGGCCCCTGATTTCTGAATGCATCACTGATTGTATTTTATTGCTGAATATCTAAGAAGCTTGGCACTGGGCATTTGGGTCCATTGCCCAAAGCTGGACACACTTGCAGATACAAAACTCCTGTAATTTGGGCTAATTTCTGACAGTTTTGTGAAACAAGACCAGAAGAGGTGGCTGAGGTATACAGTATACTTCCCTAGCCCTTTTTATCCCAACATACCACCTAGAGAAAGGGAGATTGGAAGGGTAAGCTGTAAAATTAAAGAGATTTTTCACTGGCTTTGATGGGGAAAAGATTAGGTCCTTACATAGGAGAGGAAGCTACATTTGTAAACATCTTTTCATTTCTGGTGACTCTGTGAACAGTGTTGGTTTGACTTTCTCTGGAGGTTAGTTACCATTACCCACCTTATCTCTGCTTTGCTCTCTAGCGCAACACTTCTTTGAAATTTCACAGTTCACTCCTCTTCCTTCCCCTCTATACCACACACTTAGGCATACAGACATGTAGAGCACACACACACATAAAGCTGTTCAACCTCAATACATGGTCTGAATGTGACGCTTATTATTTTCAGCCAAATTATATCAAAATATTAAGTAATACTTGTCAAGAAAGGTAATGTTGGAAACCAGCATTTATCTCTAAGTATGCAGAATGGTACCTTGCACTATGATAGAGGTTCCTAAACACTATGATAATAACAATAATAAAATAATTACAAGTACAAAACACACAAAAGCCATACAAAAACAGTCTGTAATTCTTGACAAAAGATAAAAGGTGGGACTAATGTTTAATTAATAACACAGATCTTTAATGAGGAGCTGCTTTAGCAGGGGAAGCAATACACACTTTACAAACGGCCTGTGCAGCTATTTTCTAGACAGCAAACAAATGGTTGGGATCTAGATTCCTGGTGCTGTTGCTGAACTTAGAGACAATTTTGTTTGCTAGTTACTAGTATCACAGCCAAGCACACTCAGTCTGAAAGATATCATTAAGTCTCAGGTTTATTATCAAACAGAGAATATGCTCTGTTCTGAGCTTCACCTGAAATGTCTTTCTGTAAATGCCTTAGTTACTCCATGGAAATAATGATGGAAGTAGTGGAAGAAGTGACAGCTTGCCTGCCTCTGACTTGCTATATGAAACTTTGATCAATCTTAAGAGTTGTAAAGTGCAAAGAGTTGAACTGTTAGCCAAAAGACAGCTCTGTCTAGCGCTCTTCTTTTAGGCCACAGGGACCATCCCTCTTCCTTTAACTTTAGAGAAATACCTATGGAACACGACACTTTTGCTTGGACTGTTGACATTTCCAAAATTATGTTGAGGCAAAAGCAAACATTGACCAGGAAATATGAAATCCAACTAAGCTATAAGTACTTGAAAAAGCACTAAGCAACCTAGCTAAGCAGCTGTGGTTGCGGCTAGTTTTTGTGTCGTACATATAGCTCTCAGTAATTTGCTTCTCCATTCATTTCTTGCTTTTGCTGAAACATCACTTCCTAGCATTCATCTAGCATAAATGTGCACATTATATTAAAATCTGGATCAGAGTTTTAAGCTGAAATCCTTCATATTTACTTCTTATGTTTTTCTTATTTCTCTAGCCAGCAAACTAATTTTGTTTTTATAGCAGTCATTTTCTGCAGAGTGGCCTTTTGTTACTGTACTCTTCAGTGGAAGCGATTATGATACATTGACTTAGTAAGGTTAGATTCCCCTTCCTTCTTTCCACAGAACTCCCATTCACGCAGACTGCAGTTCTGTACAGGGATGAAGGAGTGGAAGCCTTTTGAGGCAGTGCGGGAAGGAGGGAGGAAACTCTGCCTAGGGTTCTTTCTCCTGCTTAAAAACTAGATAGAGAAAAGCAAAGCAAATTAGTCACAAGTACATGGTTTGTGCTGTTGCTATAACAACAAAATGTAAAAGGCATGCGTGAAGCCAATAAGAGCTACCTATCACTTCTAAGAAAGAAATTTTGGATGCAACAGTCTACAAGACCTTAGCCCATGAACAATTACATCTTAGTTTTTAAAAGGATTTTTCTAAAGTGACGGTATGCTTGTCCCTGATGTAAGCCTCTCTGCAATATGTGAGTAGATTCAGCGCACAAGAAGACTGATGAAATGCACAGAGCTTCATGTAAGAAATAAAATGTCAGTATTCC